AAATAATTCCACCAGACTGTCAATTAACAATAGCCGTCCACTTACTCAGAGCCAAGCTGCACTAAAAGCCTCCAATACAGGAACACAATGTTGCCAGCCAATCAAGACACACAAAAAAAGCCACAAAACAGACAGAAGATATTAGAAACATCAATCAAGCAGAACACAGCAAACTCCAAGACCAATAAACACAGACCAAGACTCCCAACCAATCAGGAGGAAGAAAAAACCATTCTGGCACAGCAGTAGGCTAGCCCCAAATTTAAAACTGAAACAACTGTAAAAGTCTGACTCACAGATGAACACAATACAGAAGCCTGATGATGGCAGATGAGATTCTGCCGAAACGTTGCTACAACTTTAAAAGCACAACTATAATCACGTGGGAAAATACCTGAACAAAGCTGAATACCATATATATACATATATACATATATACATATATACATATATACATATATACATATACATATACATATACATATACATATACATATACATATACATATACATATACATATACATATACATATATATACATATATATATATATATATATATATATATATATATATATATATACACACACACACACACACACACATACATACATACACACACACACACACACACACACACATATATATATAGGAAATAAGGCTATTTAAACAGACTGACAAGATATTAAGGAAGGCCAATCCTTACATAATAAAAAATGTGGAACACAACTATATCAAGAATTATGGATTTAACAAATGGAACTCATTGTTAAGAAATATTACTTCTCAATACTGGAAAGAGACCATGACTTAAATTTATAGTCTTGAAATATGTTTTCACTTTGTGCTTTTAAACTGGTACTTTACTGAATCTAGTCTAATTTATCACTATCCATTAAGGTTTAATGGTGTGTTTAAATTACTGAGCTGAAGGATTCTTTCATATATTTCATTCATATAATATATTTTTCTTGTTTCCTTTTTCCTTTTTGGATATAGTATATATTTCTGTTTTCCCTTTTTTCTATTCTTTATATTGAAATAATTACACATTAAAGAAAAATAACATTCTATCAAGAGGCTTTTTCAAACAATTATGGTGTACTATCCCAACTTTATATTGGATTGTGATGACTGGCTATCCTGCTAAACACAATGAACAAGGTTTCTTTGCTAGTATAGAAATGTTCAATCACCATTTTATATTTTCCTTTGGCTTTGGCTGTTTTGACTGAACAATAGCCTTATGGAGAAAATACCTTTGTTAGTATTTTAAAGATCTCCAATTTAATTAGTAAGATCTTTCAGACTTTGTCTTTGCTCGGTTCCCAGAAAAATAAGTGTGATTATATTTTATTTTCTGTCTTTAAATATCACTTTTCTTTCTCTAAATTCCACAGCAATTTTCTTATTTCCTCTTGTTCAAAATTTTGCACAACTGTCCATTAATTTTGTAACACCTATGTTTTTTTTGGTCTCATTTAAGGAGACCCAAACTTATTGACTGAATTGCTGATTTACAGTAATAATTCAATCAAATTTCATTTCCTTTGTTCTTTAAGTCAAGAATCCCGTTACACTAAACAACATCAGTTATACTTGCATATAGTTGGGTCTATTTTATTATGCTGTAGTTAAATATAGCCTATCCCTTTGTTAAAGGATTGTTAAAATCATACTGATAATGGTTCAAGAAAAATGTTTGCGCTGAATAATTTTCTTCCTGAAAGGACAGTTTACAGCATGATTTGATATTTTGTTTAATTTGGTATTGTATGGTACTACACGACTCTAAGCTAAACAAATTTTAGCCTATTTCTACTGAAATTAAAAGTGGTACAAGATGTTTTCTACATAAATATTATAAGTAACCCACTCTTACCTGCAGTATCCAGAGTTCCAATTGAAGACAAATCTAAGAATACAAAAACACAACATTTAATACAATAGCGAAGAGAAGAAAAGTAATAAACATTAAATTTACTCTATGTCAATTTTTTAAGGAAAATCTTGCCTGTAGCACTGTTAGGAAAGGTGACAAAACTGACAATGGATGAATCTGCTGTAAATAAAGAAACAGTTTTTATTTATTTAAAAAGCATGTGAATAAAAACAGCCATAATTTTATATTTTTTATAAGCTGAAATGTGAATTTTCCAAACTTTCTCATAAAAACTCAGTCATAGTTTGGGAAACAATTTTGTCAATTTGAGTACAACAAAGGGCTGTGGCAAAAGATAAGGAAAAGTAGAAATGTTACACTAATATTCTTCATTGCTTTAGAAAATAGAACTAGAACCAATTGGTCTAAACAGTAAGGAAACAGTTTCCTTCAGCTTTAGGGCAGGATGGTTGAAAAAGGATTTCTGGAGCCATAGTGATGTTACTGCAGAAACAAGTGTTTTCAATCCCATTTTTGCATTTTGAGGTAATTTTTTTAAAGGATGAAAATAAAAGCTGAAAATCTGGGAGGCAAGTTGTTTATTCTATTTCTTTAACAATTCCCACACCCTCCAAATGGAAAAAAATAACTATGGAAAAAAAAACCTATGGAAAAAAATAACTCGCAAAATGGCCAAATGTTGGCAATGAGAATTGATTTGAGGCTATATGAAAGCCAGTCTGTGAGAAGATATTAAAGGTGAAAAGGGAAGATATTTTTTCTCCCAGAGGCCTTGCATTCCCATTCTTATTTTTTAAAAACAAAATGGCATAATTTCAGTGGCGACATAAGTTGCTTACCCTATTTTAGAATAACCTCTTAACAAATGAATTTTGTCTGTCCTAGAAGATGCTCATCTCTTTTTCACTAAAGCAAAGCTTACAAGACTACAGGTAGTTAGTTCTTTGCTTACAACAGTTTCTTTAGTGAATGTTCAAGGTTACAGTGGCACTGAAAAAAAATGACTTATCACAGTTTTTCACACAATTGTTGCAACATCCCCATTGTCATGAGATCAAATTCAGGTGCTTGGTAACTGACTCATATTTATGACAATTGCTGTGTCCGAAGATAATCTGACCACCTTTCGCAACCTTCTGACAAGAAAAATTAATGGAGAAGCCAGATTCAATTAACTGTTTTACTAACTTAACAGTTGCAGTGATTCACTTAACATCTATCTCAAAAAAGTCATAAACTCACTTAACTGTCTGACTTAGCAATGGAAAATTTAGGCTCAATTGTCGTAAATCAAGGATTATCTGTATTTAATTGCAATGTAGATCTTCTGCTGATCAAGGAGCTAAATTGAAGGACCTCCAATATCTAATATCAATGCATTTTATAAAACTGAAGCATTTTTGTCAAAATATTATTGTTTTATGTAGGGAAAAATAATCATCCAGACACACTGAGTCATGTTTTATTTTTTAGATTTCTCTCTAGATATTTATAGAATGCTTAGGGGGAAAGAATAGCAAACCTGCGGCCTGTGAATGCTATTCAATCCTAAAATGATATTTCGTGGTCTTCTCCTGTCATGCTCCTGAAATACAGTGACTATTTAGCCAGGGATCATATTGAAATTATTTTACAGTAAGTTTACAACAGTATTTTAATTTCCAATTCCTGGGCAATGGGGGGAACTGAAAATCCCAATTTCCTCCTTTTACATTATTTGGCTTAACCCATTGTACACTATCACTAAGACAGCTAATGTGATGTCTACACTCTTCGCATCATTGCTTTATTTATTCATTTTAGCCTTCGGCACTAAACAAAATTAAAATGTAGGTGTCTGTGAAATATAGCTGGTAGAGGTCATCAGGTCTCAAAAGGGTTTCCAGCATTATTTATAATTTTAAACTATTATTTAGAGAAAAATTCTAAAGATAAAAACAGATGAATAAATTCAGTGAGAGATGCAAATCCTAATTTTATTTTATTTTTATTCTTTAATTTCAATTGGTATTTTCCCCATTTAAATATTTACTGTGGCTAATAATAGCATTCAGAAATCTAGATTGCACAGGTAGTCCTCATAATAGAGACTATGCATTATTGTCATAAGTTGTGACAGTTGTAAAATGGGTGACAACCCAATTTTACAAACCTTTTTTTGCAGTGGTCAATAAGTGAATCACCATGATTAATAAATAATTCTATACTCATTAACAAAATATCACAGTCATTAAGTGAAGCCAATGTTTGCTATGGGGCATTTTTTCCAAAAACTGGAAGTAAACACTGGTTTTCAGCAAAACCATCATAAATCATAATTGTATGACCATGGGATTCTGCAAATGGCCGAAAATGCAGAGTGGTTGCTGAGCACCCAAAATACATCAGGAGGGTGGCCTGGCCATTGAAACTTCAGAACGGGATGCATCTTTTCTTGACAGGGGTCCATTTTAATTTTGAATGGTTGATGAGTGACCAATTATAAGTTGAGAACCATCAGTAACCCTAAATGTCTGGTGAAAGATGTTTAATGACTGCTTTTTTAAATGCAGAGGGGGGGTTCAATTGCAACTCCAGAGGAAATATATTCCATACCCTGAACCACTGAAAAGCCCCCCTCTAGTATAACAGGCAGATGATTATCTGATAGCTGGAATATCTTCAGAAGGCCCTATTCTGTAAAACCTGTCTAAACAAGTTTAGAATGAACTAGCTCGATACCCATGATTCGATATGAAACTATGTGGTCCAGCTTAGTTTTTTGGGAAGAAAATAAGGGGGGAAATTCTGCCTCTGCCTACCAGCATCCATTGATATTCATCTGGCTAGCGTCCTGTCAGTGTGTGAGAGAGTCCAGGGCTGTTTGGAAACTGAAACAGTATTTGCTGTGTGAGCAAGCAGGAGACAGCAAGGCGCCTGGGCGTGGCTTAGTTCAACTGCTTGCTGCTCTGAAACTGAAACTGAAACTGAAACTCCTCTCTTCTGTTTGTGTTTTGCATTTGGAACATATTTCTTTTCAGGTGGGGAGCGGGAGTAGAACACCCTAGCATCAGTGTGTGTTAATAACAATATACGAAATACTAATGCTCTGATACTTGTTTCAAAAAATCCTTTCTTAGTGAGCACCTAGAAGCCAAGAGGAACATACGTGCTAAATTTCAAGTTTGTAGGCTTTACGGTTCTGGAGATTTTGTAATGATGTATGAGTGGTATTTCGCTTTTATATATATATAGAGAGATGAAGAAGTTATAAAGGCATCTATTTAAAGTGGAAATTCCCTTTGAGGACCTAAATGACATAATTTAAGTACTTAAAGGGAAAACCTACTTTTGTCAAGTGGTCTATGTCTTTCATAGATGGATCATATAGTAGGAGTTATAAACATTGTTTACCAGCCAAGTTATGCATTTTGCACTAATCGAAGCATCTGGGAACTTCAGAATACCAGAATGTATTGAATAGCCTGATATCTGCAAATATCTATACATCTGCTGCTTCTTAACTGAGAAGGCTACACACAATATGAGTTATAATTCTGAGAAGCTTTGCTGGCTTTAAAGAGTTTGAAGGTATTAAATGCTGTATAAAAAAAAACCTACGTAAGGAATAAAAGAGCCAATGTGATATAATGGTTAAGGCACCAGATTTAGAAACCAGAGACTGTGAGCTATAGTCTGAACTTGGCCACAAAGCCAGCTGGATGACTTGGTCCAGTCACTTTGTCTAAGCCCTAGGAAATGAGGCAGTAGTAAACTACTTCTGAAAAACCTTAAGAAAACTGCAAGGACTGGTCAGGAAGTTTCCAAGATGCAAATACAGTTGAAAGAAAGAAAATAAAAGTAAGATAAAGAATATTGTATTTAAGTTTCTTACTTGTTGTGCTTGCAGAAAAGTTTCTAAGGTTTGATGAGATACTTGCATCACTGGCTGTAAAATATAATATATTCTTAGATTAAAATTAAAAGCATTGCGTTTAAAAATTGTGCAACAATATTTACATTCCCTGCTCACCACAAGAGGGCAATGCTTTTTAAACTTATTACAGCTGCAAATAAAATTGTAATAATTCTGAAGTAATAAATCAGAAAGTATTTTCCCATTAACTACTCTTTCAAGGGCAGAATGCATAGAATAAATTGTATAAAATCTTGAAATAACTAGTTATATTAAAAATTCTGCTTCACACATCTATTCAAAAGCAAAAAACCCCACAGAATAACAGTGAATAAACCTGTTAAAGAGCACAGTACATTGGCTCTGTTCAAACAGAATATTAAATTGTACTTTACTGTTAGAGAAACAAGGGTAAATAAGCCAGGAGCTGATGTGTATTAATTGCATAAGTGGCCACAGCTGGTCATGGTAATGCCAGTGACAAAACATATCTTGTGACATCATAAAGCAAGTTCTGCACATTCATACTGTACTTGTGAGGCTTCAAGCAGATATTTCGGGGCAGAGTTTGCATGTTGATATTGTGACTCATGTTTTGTCACTTGCCTTTCATTTGGCTGAGAAACATTTCCCTAGATTGTCAAAAGAAAAGGCCATAAGAAACTGATTAGGTAGAATTCTTTTTATCTTCCTAAGGCAGAGGTGTCAAACTCAAGGCCCACAGGCTAGATCCGGCCTGCGAGGTGGTTAGATCTGGCCTGGGGGGCTGCCCGAGAAACAGCAAAAGACTGGCCAACGGGGCCTTGGCCCAGACCAGGCTGACCAGGCACTGATCTGCAACCTAGTGGTGGCCATCTAGGCTGGACCGCAGCCAACGTTAGATTCATGGTGCTGCCTTGGCCCCACCCCCTGGGGGTGCACACAGGGGGTGGTGAGAGCATGGGGTCTGGTGTCCCTGGGGAGTGCGTTCTAAGCACTTCCCTTTCACCCAGGATGCTAGTCCTCGCGCGCTTGCCACCTCCTATGTGCAAGCTCAGGGGCTGAGGTGGCGCCATCTGGCCCAGATGGCTCCCACCAGGTTGCAGATGAGTGCTGTATCTACACCAGCAACTCTATGTCCCGCTCTCTGACCTTTCACATGTGTGTTTGTGCGCGCGCATGTGTGCATGAGGGGAGGTGTCTGGCAGCTGGGGCTCTGCAGCCCACTGAGACCATCCAAGAAGCAGGCGTGGCAGTGGCACCAGCAGCAGGTAGAGTCAATAAGCTAGATCTGAGTTGAAAGCAATCTCAGGTGGATAAATCTTTTAAATACCCCAAGAGAAGTATTTTAATGTTGTAATACACATACACATATGTATTCTCTGAGACTTTCATTTTACTAAATTTATCTGAATCAGACAATTTGAAACTAATTTAATTAAGATTTATAAATCATAATTAAAGTTAATGGCACTTCCAATGTGAATGTAGTGATTAACAGTTGTTTTAAAGGCATTCCAAAAACAGCTTATCATCTTGATAATGTGAGGAGGAACATGACAGCTCAACCCAGCTTATGGAGATCAATTTTACTTTGTCCATTATTGTTTAGCAATATATTAGAACTGAGTAATTTATACTAACTGATTTTAAATTGATTGATTGGTTGTGATATCATTTGGAATTAGAAAAAATATATTCCTAAATGTATGTTTTTAAAGATATTATCTTGAAAATAAATCTGCTAACTAGTGGAAGTTATTTTAGTGTAAATATACATTCTAATGTCATTTAAGTATATTTTGATGACATTTACATTCCACATTTTTATTACTGATACTCAGAGAACTAAATACTGACATACCAACAATAATATGCTCAAATATAAAAATAGCGAAATAACAAGGCATCAATAAGCTCAAATTTTCATTTCAAAGCCTTTTATTTGAGTCATACAAGGCTTTGAAACTGCTTTGCAAAATTAGAAAAGCAAGAATATTTTCTTGGATTTACAAGGTGAAATCAAAGTACTGATTACTGTACATATGACATTAAACACTAATTTGAAAGGAATGCTTAGCTATGCCATTAGTGAAGGAAAACTGCTTTGGATGCACAAGCCTTTACTTTTAAGATTGTCATTGCAAGCCTTAATTCAAGTTATATTCCACTGTTTAAGCACATTCAGTGAAGGATGAGAAGAATGAAGTGAGTGTCTTCCTAAAATTTGGAAATTCTCTTGGCACAAACATACCATTAAGAGAAAAAGGATCTACCTGAAATTGATATGACTGAATCCTGTACATATTTGCAAACTTCATATACAAAGATTGCTATAATCAGCAGTATTGAATTCATTTGTTCTTGCATTCAAGAACATATGGAGACACAACTTTTTCATGTGATTGAAAAGGGCACCTGACAAAATAGATTAAGATCACAAAACTCACTCTGATAACGTTATAATTAATCTACAAAACACAGAGAAACATGATGACTTTCTCATTTCTTCATCCTACAATCTTAATACCAACTCTATATGAACTTTATTTCATATATTTATTTGTACTGTATTTCTGTAACTTTCATCTAGAAGATACTGTACTGTAATTGATAGACACACGGCTTAAATACTTGACACATTTATTCTTCCCACCATTTTCTGTGGGTTCCCCTCCCCCAATTTTCCTGATGCAGAGGCTTTGAATTTCAATAATCTTAGACATTTGTAATCTTGAACTAGCCTAATAAAAATGTTGTTCCAAATAATTTAAGTATTTGATTTCTATATCACAACATGGATTTTAAAAAATACACACACACACACATACACACCTTAGCTATATTCTTTATGACTTGTTCCAATTCATTTTTAAACAAGGAATCATGTGACCACATTTCTAACCTTTTATTCTTCTTTTGACCTCTTATATGGCTTTAGAGGGCGGTATTTTAGAGGTGTAATCAGTTCAATAATTCACCCAGGACCTGCTTAGCCAGTTATTCTGAGAATATACTCTTCTCATAGCAATATGCTCCCTGGCTATGAATCCATGCAGTGATGATTCTTGTATTTATGGGATCCATGGCAGAAAATAATAGTTTGGGGATTATTCCTGTCAGTGAAAATGCTGTATCAGAATGCAAGGTCAAATATCCTTTCATATCGTAAAATCACCTGTTTATGATTGCTTTTTCTTAATAAAAATGAAACAAATGGAGCAATAAGCCTTATCTGACTTATTATATATATTAAACATTAATTTCCTAGCCACTACCTTAAGTTTCATATTCTTTCTATTTTAGATTTTGAAACTATAAAGAATAGTCCCTCACTTTATGATATGACAGTAATGCTAAATAAAATAATAATAAAGCATTATCAAAATTCATATCAGTTTCCCAAAACTGGTTGCCTTAATCTTCCCCAAGTTGTCTGGCTGGAAAGTTAGAGGATTTTGGAAGTTCACTCCTGTCCTAAATAAGTTTCCTTAAACATATACCCCAGTGAGATGTCATTTTGTTCAAATCCTTTTGAGCAGGCTTTAATTCTAAACCATTTTTCTTTTCTGTAGAAGATGGTTTAGAATTAATGTTCTAATAATGTTATGTAACATAATGTTCTAATAGTGTTGTAAAGAAAAATTACAAAAACATCCTACATTTCCTGGGTTTTCTCATCCACAACCAATGGAAAACTTCAGGAAATGTTTAAGTAGAATTTTACTTATTTACAAGTAGTCCTCAACTTAAAACAGTTCATTTAGTGGCCGTTCAAAGTTATAACAGAACTGAAAAAAGTGACTTTTGACCGTTTTTCACACTTACAACCATTGCAGCATCCCCATGGTCAGGGGATCAACATTTGGATGCTTGGCAACTGGTTCATATTTATGATGGTCGCAGTGTCCCAAGGTCATGTGATTGATCACCTTTTGTGACCTGCTGACAACCAAGGTCCATGGGGAAGCCAGATTCATTTAACAACTGTGCTACTAACTTAACAACTGCAGGGATTCACTTAACAACTGCAGCAAGAAAGGCCGTAAAATGGGGCAAAATTCACTTAACAACTGCGGCAAGAAAGGCCGTAAAATGGGGCAAAATTCACTTAACAACTGTTTTGCTTAGCAACAGAAATCTTGGGCTAAATTGTGGTCTTAAGCTGAGGACTACCTGTAAATCATGCCATTTATGTGTCATTTCATTTGGGAGATGATTTCCAGAATCATTTGAAAACAAACATTGCATATAATGGAACTTACATAAATTTGTGTATGAGTCTAGATGTAAAGATTCCCTGAACTCAGCTTATATTTCTGTTGACTTCATAGATCTATCTTGTCAACTAAAAAGATACACCTTTGGTCTTTTTAGCTTCCAGAAAAAGGGAGTGGGGAAAAAAGAAGGCATTCCTTAAATGTCTAATCACCCCCAGTAGCCCAAAGTTGTCGGAGCATAAGAATGTTATTGGAGAGCATGATGGATGACTCTTGGAGTCCAATGTATCCCATTGGAGAAGTCACATCCAGAGGGTGGGGGGAAGACCAGGGTCAAGGGGGAAATATATGATGTAATTTAGTATCAGCTGCATCCAGCTTACGCCAACATGGCCATTCCTAATAAATCAATTTACTTTTCTCTGAGATGCAGCTAAAGACTTTTGATTTGAATGAGGGTGGATTTGTTGGAGCCCTGACATATCCATTCAGTTTTTCTGACAACACAATTACTTTGACACTGCCTTCTTCCAGGGCTTTTTTTTTCTCTCTTCCAGACTGGCCTATTGCTCTGGAATATCAACTTGAATGGTCAACTCCCAACCAAGGATCAATGAGGCCTACTCTATCTTGGCTGGGTCGGGGGAATTCAGGCAAGGCAAACTAGGTGCTATCTCCCTATTGAAACATATCCAATAGACATGCTAATCAGCCTGTCTAATCCTTTACCTTGATACTGGAGTAGTAGATCACTATTTGTCTTCAGATATCTGCTTGTTGGGATTGCAAAGCTACCTTAGAGCTTAGAATTTAGATTAGATGGGGTCTAATCTAAATTCTAACTAATTTTTTCTCCAGTTCCATGAACAGGCAGTATTCTAAATAAGCATGTTTCTGGATGTTATTGATTTTCATATGAGCCTTAGGTGTCTAAGCCTTAGGTGTCGATAACTGTATTATTTTGTTGTTGAACTGCTATAATATTCCCCTACTGTTATTTTTGGTGGGATTTATTTTAATCTTGTGAATATAAAGAATATGGAAAGGATCAAATGATTCAGCTACTAGTGAATAAAATATCAGTTATATGCTTGTCTACTAAGTGAACTCACTTGTATTCCCTTAAGAATAACTTCAGAAAATCTCTCAATTCTACAAATTCTGATTACCATGAATTGGAAATCATAAAATTCCATGTCTTCAAACACATATTTTAATTAAAATGAGTTTTAAAATCTAGCATAAATTTGGCTGTTTTCCTCATAATGTGAACCATATGAAGCTCATAACCTGAAACATGATCTTGAACAAAGATCCAATACCAATTGACTTATTTCATAGAATTGATGAAAATAAGCATGAACAAGTATTAGACTTTAGATGTATTATAAAATATACATAAATATACTTGTTATACTTATTATCTTCTGTATAGTTCTTATCTCAGCACCCACTTCCCTTTCCATCTGCTATGTTATCTAGCTCAGTGGGTCCCAACCTTTTTTGTACCAGGGACCAGTTTCAAGCACAAACACTTTTTCAAGGATGGGGGGGGGGGGAGAATCTGAGTTTGGTGGTTTGCTTGCAGACGTTTCATTACCTGACTAGGTAACATCTGATGTTGTTACCTAGTCGGGTAATAAAACATCTGCCAGCAAACCACCAAGTTCAGGGAGCGCCTCGGCCCTGCCTCCCTCAGCCCCATCCCTCAGGTGTCTCCCTCCCTCCCTCAGGTGTCTGCCTCGTTCCTCTCTCAGTCGCTCTCTCGCTGCTCCACCAGCCCAGGAAGAAACTGCTTCAAAGAAGCCGGGGGGGGTGGCTTTTCCTGTCGCCGCAGCTCCTCCGAAGCGCCCGTTTACCCCAACCACGCGCGGTTCAACCCAGTGCTCCGTTCTGCCTGCCTGCCTGCCTGCCTTTGTTTCGGAGCAGCTTCGGCTGATAAAAAGAGGCGAATAGTTATTATTCTCAGCCGAAGCTGCTCCCAAACAACCAGACAGGCAGGCAGGCAGAACGAAGCACTGAATTGAAGCGCGCGCGGGTGGGCGGGGTGGGGGTAAACGGGCGCTTCGGAGGAGCTGCGGCGACAGGAAAAGCCACCCCCCCCGGCTTCTTTGAAGCAGTTTCTTCCTGGGCTGGTGGAGCAGCGAGAGAGCGACTGAGAGAGGAACGAGGCGGGAGGAAACCGAAGCTGCTGAGCCAGAGAGCAGGACAGGCTTCGGTTGCTTCCTCCCTCCCCTTCTTTCATTTGTGTCCTTGATCCCCGATCCCAGCAGCATTCACCGAAGGCGAAGAAAGCCGCCATTTTTTTTATTTTTTTTTCTTTGCGGCCCGGTACAGAGTGCTCCACAGACCGGTACCGGTCCGCGGCCCGGTGGTTGAGGACCCCTGATCTAGCTTATGCACATCCTCATTTAAAAGGACATGATTAGAAGGAGCAGAGAAGAAAAAAACTTACCTCTGCCAGAAGCCAAAATCAAATGAAGCAATAGGAGACCAAGAGAGACCTTGAATTTTAATAAGTGTTCCCATACTTTCTCCGTGCATGTATAGCTCACTTTATGGGCTACCATCCTAAAAGATGCAAGAAAAACAATTAGCTACATGTATAAATGTGATATTCATTGTATAAATAGGAAACAGTTATACAGGCAGTCCTTGACTTACAATCATTTGTTTAATGACCATTCAAAGTTACAATGGCATTGAAAAAAGTGACTTATGACCAGTGGTGGGATTCAAATTTTTTTTACTACTGGTTCTGTGGGTGTGGCTTGGTGGGCATGGCAGGGGAAGGATACTGCAAAGTCTCCAGTCAGATATGGTATTTGCTAGTTCTCTGGACTACTCAACATTTCCACTACCGGTTCTCCAGAACTGGTCAGAACCTGCTGAATACCACCTCTGCTTATGACCATTTTTTACACTTAAGACCACTGCAGCATCCCCAAGGTCATATGATCAAAATTTGGATGCTTGGCAACTGGCATGTATTTATGATGGTTGCAGTCTCCCAGGGTCATGTGATCTCCTTTTGAAACTTTCTGACAAAGTCAATGGAGAAACCAGATTCCCTTAACAGCTGTGTTACTAACTTAACAATTGCAGTGATTCACTTAACACTTAACAATTCACTTAAGATGGAGCAAAATTTCACTTAACATCTTGCTTAGCAATGGAAATTTTGGCCTCAATTGTCGTCATAAGTTGAGGTGTTGAGTTTTCAGATTATGTTTGATATCTGTTAACAGTGATTATGGCTCCCGGGAAAACTACCTATGTTTCGTTATCCTGCTCCCTGTTACGAACCACTAGAATAACATTATCAAACCTTTGTTCAGTCATATTGTCAATTAATGCAAAGCAGCAGTAAACCCAACAATTTGGTTGATTCAATATCTGATACAAACTGATTCCATCAAACCCATGCGCACCAGCCACCAGGACATTTGTACACTGTTCCCTGCAGATTCTCTGTAACAGGTTCTGTAACATTTGCTGTAACATTTGCCTCCCCCCCCCAAGGACCCAAACTGCAAGGAAGGCAACGAGTTCAAATATTTTTAATTAGTTTATCAAAAGATAAAATACAGAAATACAAAGAAAAATGGAGATAATAGGAAAATAAGGGGGGAAAGGGGAAAGAAAGAAAAGGGGGAAGGGGAAAGAAAAAGAAAAGCATTGACTTCCAACTTCCAAAAAAAGAGATTAAACTAGAAAAAAGACAAAAAGAGCTGTGGATTTGATTTTGTGAAAAATGAATTGGAAATCTTACTGTGTGGTAATGATAAACATATCGCTAAGGTAAATTGTTATTGAAATTGAATTTGGAGAATGAATATGTAAAGCATTGTACAATTCAGTGGGCAAAGAACTTTGGATATAATATAATGCTTGAACAATGGGAGAATATGTGGATAAAAGGTTTAAAATTCACATTAAATTATAATTTAAAAGAAAACTTTTACAAGATGATATACCATTGGTATCTAACACTGAACAAATTGTCAAGAATGTATAAAGGCATTTGAAATGAATATTTGAAATGTAAATGTAAAGAATAAACATTCTATAATTTATGATGGACATGTGACAAAGCGAAGAATTATTGGAGTAGGATTCACAATGCTGATGCCCAAGAGCTATGGAACTTTGATTGTTTCATGATGGAGCTCTGCTGCCGGTTCGAGGACCCCCTAGCAGATTGGAAGGCCCGTGATTACATCAGAATTGTGAAGCAAGGCCGCCAGCAGGTGGCCGAGTACATCGAGGAATTCTGAGATTTTGCTTGCCAGGTAGACGAGCCAGAAGACATCCTAGTAATCTGGTTCAAAGATGGGCTGAAGGATTACCTCTACCATGCCTGCCTAAGCTAACAGGCATAGAACAGAAATGGGCTAAGAAGGCTTATGCCATTTGCCTCCTCACATGGAGGCATTTCTTGGAAGGGAACAAAATCTCCTTCCAAGTCTGGATCGACCACAAAAATCTGGAAGCCCTTAAGACCCCATGGAAACTATCTCCAAAGCAAGTGTCCTGGGTCCAGTATTTCAAACATTTTTACTTCACCCTCAAGTACCTCCTTGGGGGGAAGAACTTCCTAGCAGATGCTTTATCTAGAATGCCCCAATATAATGGCAACAAATCAGAGGTGGTCAAACCTCTTCTCCTAGCTTCCCAGCTGGAAGCCAAAGTCATGATCAGGATGCAAACAAAACTAGATCTCCCAACTGACAATGCCACCATGCAAGTGTTCAAACAAAAACCTTCTCACAGACAACTGGTTCCAGTTGAAAGACAGCCTGGCTTGGATGGGAGGAAAGTTGTATGTCCCAGCAAGCCAAAGACTTAGCCTCATGAAAACCTGCTACAATTCAAAGTCGGCTGGCCAATTTGGATTTATGAAAATGCTGCACTTAATAAAGAGGCAGTTCTGGCCATCCCTAAAGAAAGATATAGAAGGCTATGTGGTTGCTTGCCCTGTCTGTGCAGCCGCAAAGAGAAGGCAGGAAAAAACCCTAGGGCTGGTTTTGTAAGTAGCCTGGTGCCATGCCACGTAGGGCTTTATAGATGATAACCTTGATCAGTTTGGATGGATTTTTATGGATTTCATTGTAGAACTACCAGAAAGTGCAGGAACACTGTCATTTTGGTCACAACAGACCTGTTCTCCAAGCAGGTCCACTTCATTCCCTGCCAAAAGATCCCCACTGCCAAAGCCTTTGCCAAGATGTTCCTGCACCACATATACTGATTGCATGGTGCCCCCCAAAGGATTATATTCACATCAAAATTCTGGAGAGCTTTCCTAAACCTTCTGGGTACCGATCAGAGCCTGAGTTCTAGTCATCATCCTCAAATGAATGGGAAGATAGAATGAATGAACGGGGTTCTAGAACAGTATCTAAGGTGCTTCATCAACTACCAACAGGATAACGGGATTGATGTTTTGCCTTTTGCAGAGGTTGCTTACAACAACTCAGTGCATTAGAGCAGGGGTCTCAAACCTTTTGTACGTCAGAGACCACCAAATTCATAATTTTAAATCCCATGGACCACTAATATGAATCCAGCATGCCACTCGCTGAAGCGCCTGGACTTCCACTGACAGGATGGGGTCCTTCAGGCACTTAGCTTGGCTACCTGTTTCTGCAACCTTAAATACTCAAAGAGTCATTTGGACCCATTTCCCACAGAAAACAAAACACCGGGGCCTCTCATTTCTCTCTCTCTCTCTTTCCCTCCCCCTCTCTTTCTCCCTTTCTCCTTCTCTCTCTCTCTCTCTCTCTCTTTCTCCCCCTCTCTCTGTCCCCAGGGGTGTGGGTGGGGGGAAAGAAACCTCTGAACTGGTGCTGGGTGGTGGGAATCTGATGCTTATGAGTAACCATTTTAACCTAATGGAATTGAGTGGGAATCCTCAGATCCTGCTTTTTCTTGCTATCCCTTTCTCACAATAAAAGTTTCCTTTTGAAATAACATTCGTTTCAAGAGTTCTACTTTCTTGAGAAGAGACGAGGCAAGTCCTTGCACAGAGGCTACTACCCATGACAGACCACATGCCTCAATTTTTGGATAAAACACACAAAAACAATAGTTACCAATTTCATTTGTGATTTAATTCAAAAGAAAGCAAATTTCTTTATCTTGGCCCTATCCAGTTTTTGACATGTGCCTCCTCCAACAGACCTTCCAAATATTTTGCCTGAAAAAAAAGTCATGCACCCTCATCTTAGATCATTTTTATTTTTATATTTATTCTGCCCAACCAGCACAATTTATTTTATTCCTCAAACTTGGAGACAGAATTACTACCTAATCAATCTTAATGCAACCTGATATTTAATATCTATCCATTTTTTCTATAGCTCACAATTAATGCTTTTTAAAAAAAGCTTAATCTATGCACCAGAGAACTTTTGCTTTCTCCAGGAAGCAACCGATCTCAGTATTTTGTACATAAAAGCAGTTCCTATTTCCACTTTAAAACCACAAAACTAGTCACTTTTATAGCACTGAACATTCCAGAATTTCCTAGAACTCAGAGCCACTTAAGGCATCGGGGAAATGCTATTAAATTTCAGATGCCAGGGAATCATGCAGTATGATCAATAGTGGAGTGGCAGAAGTAGTAATGGAGGAGTGTACATTTCATACCACTCTTAAGAGAAACGAAATAAGTTAATCCTTTCCATCAGCAATAACAGTTCTTTAGGCTGCTGTCTAAAAACACAGACAGCATTTGTCTTTTCTATGTTCTAGTAGGATATTGTAGGAAATGGTGTTATGGTTATGAGTCAGTTCTGCTGTTTTTCAGCCTGCTTTTTTTTTAACAGGACATATAAAGTATTGATTCTGACCTAATTATTTTAAGTAAAATTTGCATTATCGATTTCTTACCAAAGAATAATAGTTTTACTGAAGAAGCATGCACATATAGATCATTCTTAAGCACTTGTTTTAAACCTTCAATCCATGGCAGTCAACCAAGTGGTGCTGTGGTTGAGGTGGTGCATCCATCCTTTCTTTCCTTGACTTCTCAGTGGCCTTCAATACCATCAACCATGGTATTGGGCTGACTTAGGGAGCTGAGAATGGGCAGCACAGTTCGTGCTGGTTCACCACAATCCTCCGAGGCCAATCTCAATTGGTATTAATAGCGAGCAAGAAGTCCAGCTCTCCACCCTTCTTTGTGAGGTGCCTTAGGGTTCAGTACTCTCTCTGCTCCTTTTTAACATCCACATGAAACTGCTGGGTGACATCATAGATCATGATGGGATGTGTCACCAATACATTGATGATAGCCAGCTATATATCTCCATCCCAGGTGAAGTGAATGATGTGATGGATGTCCTTTCATGGTGTTTGGAAGGTCTGGAGGTCTGGATGGGGAGCAACAGATTTCAACTGAACCCTGATAAGATGGAGTGGCTGTGGGTGGGCCCCTCTGTATCCAGGAGTTCTTCAGGTTTGAATGGGATTGCACCTCCCCAGACAGTCCCAGTGAATAACTTGGGGGTTCTCTTGGACTCATGGCTCCTGCTCGAAAAGCAGGTGGCAGCTGTGGCCAGGCTTTT